TTTTCATTTCTTCCATTTGCTTTAGTGATTCTCTGCTCAAGGGCAAGGTTCAGAGTCTCTTCTGTCATCCACTTTGGAACGCACAGGAATTACCCATTAGAAAGGTGCAAATCCAAAAACCATGAGATATCACCTCATCCCAGCACTAATAATAAAATTCAAAACCTGGAAAACATCAAATACTGGTGAGAGTGTGGAGAGTCTGGGACCATCATACACTGCTGATGAGTTTGCAAAATGGTACAACCACTGTAGAAAATGGTATGATGCTTCCTTAAAAAGGTGGAAATACCATATGGTCCAGGAATTATATAATCATATATGTTATATATATAATGTGCCTCACAAAGGATATTCCTATATATATATTTATATGTGGTGCAAATGTATCCATGAATACAGTACCATATACACAGGGGGGAAAGTTATGAACAGTTCTTAGTCACAACCAAACACCTTGAGGCAAAGGATTTGCTCAGCCTGGAAGTTCAGGATCATAGTCTCTGCAGCACTAAAGTAAATTGACATTAACATAGTCCACAAAGACAATGTTCTACATCATACTTTGATAAGTAGTGACTGTTGTTGTTGTTATGTGCTGTGGAGTCAGACCCGACACATAGTGACCCCTCCTTGGGTTTCCAAGGCAGTATCACTACGGAAGCAGATTGCCTCATCTTCCTTTCAAGGAGTGGCTGGTGGATAGGGCTTTAAAACTTGTGAGCAGCCATCTAAAATGCAACTATTGATCTCTCACTATCTGAAGCAAAGAAGAGTGAAGAAAATCAAAGAAACAAGGAAACAATTAGTCCAAAGGACTAATGGACTGCTCAAATCCCAGTCTTCATGACCCTAAGACTAGAAGACTACATGGTGGCCTACTACCACTGCTGACTGCTCTGAAAGAGATCACAAGATAGAAAGAGGTCCTGGATAGAGTGGGGAAAAGATGTGGAAGAAAGTTCAAAATAACAAACAATACTACTAGGGTGACTGGTTTGATAGAGACTGCTGGAACATCCAAGACTATAGCCCTTATATGCCCTTTAATGCTGGGACTAAACTCACCCTGTGGTTCAACTTTCAGCCAAATGTTAGACAGGCCTATAAGGTGAACAGTAACACCAAGGAAGTTGCACTTCTTAGAACAATCAACCATGCAAAGTCAAAAGGGATAAAACACAGAAGGCAGGAAGGGACAGAAAGGACAGATGTCAGGAAATAAATACAAAGAAGCAGGAAAAGTGTTGTTACATTGTGGGGACTGAAATGAATATCACAAAACAAAATGTGTATAAATTGTTGAATGGAAAACCGATTTTCTCTGTAAACTTTCACCCAAATCACTATATATCTATATCTATCTGTCTGTATAATAAAATAATAAAGTGAAAAAGAAAAAAGAAGACAAAAGAAAAACTTGTTTATTTGAATTGTGTTTTTGGTGAAGAATATTGAATATCCCATGGACTTTCAGAAAAATGAACAAATCAGTTTTAGAAGATATACAACCTGAATGCTCCTTAGAAGTGAGGATGATGAGACTTCCTCTTGCTTATTTTGGACACATCATCAATTGTTAGGAAAGATCATTATGTTTGGTAAAATCAAGGGTCAGCTCAAACAAAGGAAGCCCTAATGAGGTGGAATGACACAATAGTTGCCAACAGTGGACTCATACATACCAAAGACCATGGATATGGTACAGGACCGGACAACACTTCTTTCTCTTGTACAAAAGGTAACTGTGAGTTAGAGCTGACTTGATGGCAACTAACAACAACAACAAAGATTCATATGGAGTTTCAAGAAAATAGCCAAAAGAACTTTAAAAAAGAACAAAGTTGGAGAACTGACATATTCCAATTTAAAAACTTACTACAAAACTACAGTAAACAAAACAGTCTGGCACTGGCATATGGATGTGCATATACATCAATGGAATATAATCAAAAGTCCAGAAATAAATGCATACATCTCTGGTCAATTGGTTTTCAACAAGGGGGCCAAGACTATCCAATGGACAAAAAATAATCTCTTCACTAAAAGTGCCTGAGCAACTCAATGTCTACATACAAAAGGAACCTCTCACACCATTACAAAAATTACTGCAAAAATTAACCCAAAATAGATTAAAGACCTAAATGTAAAAGCTAACACTATAGTGCAGATGGTTAACTTACGTGGATGCTAACCAAAAGGTTGGAAGTTCAAGTTTATCCAGAAGTGCCTTGGAAGTAAGGCCTGGCAATCTACTTCAAAAATATTATCCACTGAAACCCCTATGAAGAACAACTGTACTCTGACACATATGGGGTTGCCATGAGTCAGAGTAATTTGATGGCAAATAGTTTAGTTTTTTGGTAAAGCTGTAATGCTCTTAGAAGAAAATATAAAAGTAAATCTTCATTATCTTGAATTTGGCAGTAAATAAGTTGGATTTAATCAAAATTGAAAATATTTGTGCATCTAAGGATACTATCAAGAAAGTGAAAAGACAATGTACAATGAGCCCTAATGTAAACCATGAACTTTAGTTAATAATAAAGAATCGGTGTTGGTTTATCAATTACAACAAATGCACACTAAAGATATGAAAGAGTGAGGGAGTATATAGAAATTCTATGCATTTTCTGTGCTACTTTTTCTGTAAACCTAAAACTATTCTAAAATATAAAGCATATTTTATAAAAAGGCAACCTACAGAAATATAAAGCATATTTTATAAAAAGGCAACCTACAGAATGGGAGAAAATAATTGCAAATAATATATCTGATAAGGGTCTATTATCTGGACTATAAGAAGAACTCTTATAACTCAGTAATCAAAATACAAACTACCCAGCAAAAACATGAGCAAATAATGAACAGACATTGCATGTAAGAAGGTTACATAGATAGCAAATAAGCATGTGAAATGATGCTTAACATCGTTATTGGGGAAACAGAAATCAAAACCACAATGTGATATACTTCACAGATATATAAACCAATTTTAAAAAAAGAAACCAGAAAAAGTGTTGATGAGGATGTGGAGAAATTAGAACTCTAGTTCACTGCCAGTGGGAATGGTAAATTGTACAGTCACTGTGAAAACTGGTGGTTTCTTGAAAATGTAAACATAAAATTACCACATGACCCAGCTATTCCACTCATAGGTATATGCACAAAAGAACTGGAAGCAGAGTCAGGGATTAGGTATAACATATAATATACACATTATTAAGTCATTTTTAAATAGGCTGACAGTTTCATGTAAAAAATCATGATGTAAAAATATCTCTGACATAAAAATTTAATTAATAATCAATTTAATTAAGCCTCGTTAATTAAGATTGGTATATCAAAATGTCATGTACAAAGAGGTGTTATAAGAATTAAGGTACATAACATATTAATATACCAATCTTAATTTGTGTTAATAACATAGTGTTTAACACAATGCATGACACATACTAAGTACCAAATGGTAATTATTATCATAAGGTTCTTTGGGGGAAGAGCACTGCCTTCATTATCTCATTGCTGTATTGTCTTGCATAGGTCTGGACTCAGGCCTAGAGGTATGAGCCAAAAGAACTGACATACCAAAGAAAAGGAAGAGTAAGTCATAATCTCAGTGGCTCTGGGGAATACATGCTATCATGGGTTTCTCCTGCAGGCCAGTACTGGGTGAGGCCCAATCAGAGAGCTCTAATCCAGGGTCCAATGGAGAGAACCACAACACAGGACAGTCTGGGGGAAGTTCAGGAAATGACTGGCAGCTGCAGAGGAAAAGTGGGCACAAGGCCCAATCTCAGGGTGCACAGCCCGTGAGCAACTTACTTTAACTAGATCCTTATGTACTACACCTGCATGCAGTTTCCTTTCAACTGGGACCTCTTTCTCAAACTTCTTTCTCTGGGTCTTCTCCAGCCACACATAAATGAGTCTCATAAATGAGATTCCCTGTGAGCATCCTCTAAAGATGAAGGGAAGGGTCCATGTCTCCAACTCAGTGGTGGAGGATGGCCTTTGAGCTGGCCCAAGGTGCAAAGCTCTCTGACTGCATGAACAGTGGGCTTTTGGCCTGGTTCTTCTTCCCATGGTACATGATTCAGGAAAGCAAAGGAGGCCTGATTGTAAATATGAGAGAGAGTGCAAATCAACTTGCAACACAGTGTCCTTTCTCTGTTCAGTCTCATTCTGAAATAACACCATGTTTTTTTAAGTCCAAAAAGTTCATATTTCAGTGAAGAACTGTTCACATTTTGGAAATTATAAATATTAGGAAAAAAACAAATCTTGCTTTTGTTTAAATTTCTATTTTCAAACATCAAGTCTTCTGAAATTAGGTCTTGAAAATAATTACTGAACTTGGCATACTCATTGAAAATATTTTTTAAGAAACTTTTTATTGTGACTTGGGTGAAAGTTTACAGAATACACTGGTTTTATGTTCAACAGGTGATACACAAACTATGGTACACACTATGGAATACTATGCAACATTAAAGAATAATGAAGAATCCACAAAATACCTCATAACATGGATGAACTTGAAGGACATTATGCTTAGTGAAATAAGTCAATCACAAAGGACAAATATTGAGTCCACTATTATAAAAAGTCAAGGAAAGGTTTACACATGAAAGAAACATTCTTTGATAGTTACCAAGGATGGGAAGGTAGTGGAGGAAAAATTACTAACTGGGTGTTCTGGTTACCTAGTACCACTCTGACAGGAAATATAACACCAATGAGATGGCTTGAACAAACAGGAGTTTATTCTCTTACAGTTCGGGAGGCTAGAAGTCCAAGTTCAAAGTGCCAAGCTCGAGGGGCTGGGTGAAAGCCCCTCGACCTTGGGCTTCAGCTTGGCCTCTTGCTCCCAGCCCACTGAAGCTAGAGGCATCTCTTCACCCAGGTAGCTACTGGCTGCTGAGGCTAACAAGGTCAACAAATAAAATGGCACAGTCCCAATGTTACCAAGCCCCACAGCAGGCCATTAATTCAAGTCCACTGAAAGTCCCAAGGTTGGCAGAGCATGGCATGTTGCTGAGCAATGACATTGCTACATGCAGGGTTCAAGCATGCCATAAGCTGGAGATCATTACCAAAGCTGTTTCTTATATACAGGAAGCAGACACCTACCCAAAGCAGCTACTCAGCTGCTCACAGTAGATTCCACCATGGAGTTGATTGCCAGTTTCATCATGGAGAATACTACATCCAGCTGCTCAGCCATTCAACCAGGCCCCACCAAATTGACACACAAACATAACCACCACACTGGGTAAGAGACATATTAATTTGAGTGAAGGGAAAGGCAATACACAAATAGTGGATGACCAGCACAATATCACCAAGGAAAAGGAAGACACAGAGAGGCATACGAGAGGTACAGACAAGACATGTGAACTCTATTACATACACAATCCTTCATTATCAGTAAAAATAAACATTAATCTATGGGTGGATATGTGGGCAGACAGGCAAGAGGATCAGGTATGGGTATGTGAATAGGAATATACCCATGACCAAATATAGGTTTGGCAGACAATATTTCTATAGATATTATTATAATAAAATGTGCAAAAACCTGGAGTTAGAAAACCAAAGGGGAAGAACTCATTTGGTATTTCTCAAGATGAAGGAACTGAAGAAAAATTTCAAGTCTCAAGTTGCAATATTGAAAGATTCTATTTGAAAAATATTGAATGATGCAGGAACCATCAAAAGAAGATGGAAGGAATACACAGTCACTGTACAAAAAATAATTGGTTAATGTTCATCTATTTCAGGAAGTAGCATATGAGCAAGAACCAATGGTATGGAAGGACGTTGAAGCTGCTCTAAAGGAATTGATGAAAAACAAGACTCCAGGAATTGACAGAATACTCATTGAGATGTTTCAACAAACAGATGCTACACTGGAGGCACTTACTCATCAATACCCAGAAATTTGGAAGACAGAATACCTGGCTACTATTTGTACCTATTTCAAAGAAAAGGGATACAACAGAATGTGGAGTTTACCAAAAAATCAAACGCAAGTAAGATTTTGCTGAAGATAGTTAAACAATGTTTGCAGCAGTATATTTATGGGTAACTTCCAGAAATTCAAGCTGGATTCAGAAGAGGACGTGAAATGAGGGCAATCATTGTTGATGTCAAATGGATCTTGGCTGAAAGAAAATACCAGAAAGATGTTTACTTGTGTTTCTTTGACTATGCAAAAGCATTAAACTGCATGGATCATAACAAATTATGGATAACATTGAGAAAAATAGGAATTCCAGAACACTTAATTGTGTTCCTGAGGAACCTGTACATAGACCAGAAGGTAGTCGTTCAAACAGAACAAGAGGATACTGCATGGATTAAAATCAGGAAGGGTTTGCATCAGGATTGTATCCTTTCACCATACTTATTCAATCTGTATGCTTAGCAAATTATTTGAGAAGCTGGACTATATGAATAAGAAAGCAGCTTCAGGATTGGAGGAAGACTCACTAACAATCTTTGATATGCAAATTACACAACCTTGCTTGCTGAAAGTAAAAATAACTTGAAGCACTTACTAATGAAGATTAAGGGCACAGTCTGCAGTATGGAATACACTTCACCATAAAGAAAATGAAAATCCTCACAACTGGACCAGTAAACAGCATCACAATAAACAGAAAAATGATTGAAGTTGTCAAAGATTTCATCTCACTTGGATCCACAATCAAAACACATGGAAGCAACAGTCAATAAATCAGATATCCTATTACAGTGTGAAAATCTGCTACAAAATACCTCTTTAAAGTGTTGAAGAGCAGAAATGTCTCTTTGAAGACTAAGGTGCACCTAATCCAAGCCATAGTGTTTTTAGCCACCTCACATGTGTGTTAAAACTGGACAATGAATAGGGAAGACTGATGAACAGTTGACAGTTTTGAGTTGTGATGTTGGTGAAGAATACTGAAGTTATCATGAACTGCCAGAAGAAGGAACAAATAAATATGTCCTGGAAGAAGTGCCTTCAGAATGCTCCTTGGAAGAGAATGCCCAGACTTCAGCTCACCTACTTTGGTCATGTTGTCGGAAGGGACCATGCCTTAGAGAAGGATAAAGTGGAGGGTCAGTGAAAAAGGGGAAGATTGACACAGTGAATGGGTTGACACAGTGGCTGCAGTGACAGGTTCAGGTATAGCAAGGATTATGAGGCACTTTACTGGGCAGTTTTTTTTTTTTTTTTTTTTTTTTTTCTGTTGTACATAGGGTCACTATGAGAGGAAGCTGACTTAATGGCACCTAACAACAACAACAACTCCACAAAGACAATTTGGTGAGTAGTGACTGGAGTCTTAAATGCTTGTGTATGGCCAGTCTAAGATGCAACTATTCTTTGGTTTCTTCATTCTGGAGGAAAGAAGAGTGAAGAAAATCAAAGATGCAAGGAAAAAATTAGTCCAAAGGACTGATAGACTGTGAGAATCCCAGCCACCATAGCCCTGATACCAGAAGAACGAGATGGTGCCCAGCTACCACTGCTGGGAGCTCTGGAAGGAATCACAATAGGAAGTCCTGGATAGAGATGGGGAAAATGTGGAAAAAAACTCAAAATCATAAAAAAAAAAAAAGGCCAGGCTTACTGGTATGAGGAAGAGTGGTAGAACTCCTAAGACTATTGCACCATTAGAGCAAGCAACTGAACTTAACACCCATAATTCAATTTTCAGCCAAAAGCTAGATGGGCCTATAAAGTGAACAGCAATACCCGGAGCATATGCACTCATTAGAACCACCATGCATATGAGATCAAGAGGACAACATTTGTCCTCTTTTATACATATACATATACATATATATAAACATATACATATACATGTTGCTATGTGCCGTCGAGTCGGACCCGACTCATAGTGACCCCTCCTTGGGTTTCCGAGGCAGTATCACTATGGAAGTAGATTGCCCAACCTTCCTTCAGAGGAGTGGCTG